CAAGGACAGCCAGAAGAGATCAAGGAGCTGCAGGACTATCAGAAAGGTATTGAAGATGTTGAGCATGAAACTGAGCAAACTCAGGGAGGCAGTGAAGGACAGGAAGGCCTGGTGCAATATGGTTCATGGGGTCACGAAGAGTCGGACACGACTTAACGACTGAACAACAACAACAGAGATAAATATCTATGGGGCTCTTTACTGTTGACTATAGCATATGGAAGATTGAGACTTGGATTGTAAGATGAATTTATGGTAAAGAACATGAATTATCAGATGAAATCACAGGAAAGAAAATAGATATGTTTACTGATTGTGAAACCAGGAGAAAAAATATGGATATAATAGAATGAAGTTGTTGAATTGGTGAAAATATGCAAGAAAGTGAAGGTGTAGGCATAATTATGAATAAGATTAAAATATGTCAGGATCTATGAATTGGTGTCATCTAGATTACATGGGTGCATTTGACAGCAGAAATCCATAGATTGGTGATAATTGCATATTATGCTCCAGTAAATGATAATGGAAAATCCAGTGAAGAATTTGGCTAAAAATTGTGCAACATCCTGAAAGAATGTGACTCAGGAGGAAAACAAAATTTTAGGTGACATGAATAGTAGAGGGGAAAGAGACAAGACAGAAGATAAAAAATCATTGGTCCATTTGGAGACCAAAGAATGACTGAGAATGGTGACTGATGACTACTTGCTTAGAAAAAGGTCTGTTAGTTTCAGTTGCATGACTTAAGCTTAAGACTAACTATATGTACATACTGAAAATGAATGAATCAAAAAGTATGGTTGATTTGATTAATTATGATGAAAGATTGAGAATTAGTGAAGAATGTAAAGGTGATTAGAGGATATAAATATCAGATAGATCTTTATTTGATAAAGAACGGATCTTGGGAAAAAATGGGCATGAAGAAAAGAAACAAACTGAAAGAAACTAGAGTGAATGGTACCTTGTTATCTACATAACAACCAAACTGAGTGAAAACCATGAACTGCAATTTAATATGAAACAAATTAAACCCCAAAGGGGGGGGGATGTTTTATTAGTCCAAAGCAAGCCATAGACATAAGCAGCAACTTTGAGCTGGAAAACAAATCTAAAAATGAAGAATAATTCAAGACACACGTTTTCAGTTTTTGCTAACCTGGAGATGGATTTGCTCCAAGAATTCCTGAAGAGAATTAAGCTTGGCCCCTTTACTTTTCTTGTGTGGTTTTATTTTTCTGGGTGAAGATTCCTCTTCTATTATCAGATCCACATAAATAAATTTGAAGTTTCCCACCTTGTTGTTTAGCTGTCCGGTCCACATTCCCATTGGGGTTTTACAGATGATATCAATTATATCTCCTTTCTAGAAGATGAGCAACAGAAAAATAGAATATAAAATGAAGAATAATTTAATGAAATAACAGATTATTGCTGATTCATACAGCTGGTTTATTTCTTTGGAAAAAAGAGTTACTTTAAAGGAAAATTAACAGGTAACACTTAATGCATATTTTCTAATTTAAATTAGACTTGCTTTATAAATATGCATGGATTTCCACATTATAAAAGGGTTAGTAAAATTTATGTATTAACTGAGTTATGCAATCAATAAATTACTATAGTTGCTTCCAATACCATTCCTATAAGTTTTGAAGGGGCACTAATAAAATGACAATTGGCATAATTCTTATATTCTCTCTACTGCCTAGATATATATTTAAGTTGAGGTAAAACATTAATATATGTTTGGAGTATCTATTCTGTATTATTTTAAGATATCAGTAAGAGAAGGCATATAATCTCTGTGAAAGGAAAATAAATAATTATTAATGAAAAACTCAAAACAAAGCCTTTGGTTCAAACTAAAAAAAACAAAAAAAACCCCATTCTAGCTGAATCATGTCTACTACAGAAGGAAGATCATGAGGAAAGTGCCAAAAGAAAACTACCAGTTAGAGAAGACAAAACTTTTCAGTTAAGCATAAGATAATGAACTGATGTGAATCAGATCTAAAGTCTGTCCATTCCCCTGTTCAATGCCACAGTGGCAAACCACATGCCTATGGGAAAATCACAAGCAAGACATCAACAATAATTTCTATTGTATTTTCCAGAACCAGAATTCAGAGATATTAATTATATTATATTAATATATTACCAAAACTGCTATGGATTTCTGCAGTTTACAATTCATAATTAAATATAGTGACCTAGTCTTGGAGATAATTGGTAGATACCATAATGTGTTTGGCTAATCCAATTTAACTCTGTCTAGAATTGTAGATATCATTTTATATTTTATGGAAGCAAATTCAGTCATTTAGTTATGTGTCCTGTAAACAAGTTCTTAACTGTTCTAGTTATCCCATCTTTCTGTTTCATTAGATTATCCTGGATTCTACTATTATGAGAAAGAGATTAAAACATTTTGTACACTTTCATATGTGTATACGCACACATACACACACACAATCTCATTCCTTAAATTAACCAGCATGTCTCATTAACAGTATAATAATCTATAGTACCAAAAATTTGGTTCCTATTTTTGAGTGAAGTTCCATTCAAATGTTATTAAATCTGGACTGGGGATTACAGGTGCACAAAGTGGAAATTAGAGCTGAATAAAACAGGCCTACTCAATGCATTTTATTTGTTCTTTTGGAATGTTTTGAGTTGGCAGTATTCACACAGAACAAAGCAGAAAATGGCTTGAGGGTTCTGGCTATAGAAAACAGTAGGAACTCAGTACAAGCCTGTTACTTCCTTGATTTTCACCCAAGGTCACATGAATAGTAGAATGACAAGCCCTGGTAATTTATACTTGCCATCAGATCTGCAGAAAAATAAGTGATTTTAAAACATTTTTTAAATATTAAGAAAATATTCCTCTAGAAAACAAAGGGAATATTGTTATTTTCTCATCAGACAAATCAATCAGGTTACTAATGCTAAACTGATAAACTAGCATGTAGATTTTGCAAAGAATACCAGCATCAAAACCAATCTTGAAACTCACCAGGAAGACACAAGCCAACAAACTAACCAGGCCAACATAATGTTTTTTCATGTTTAAATGCATCCTGAAAGTTCAACATAAATAAACCACAAGAGCATGGACAGAATACAAAAAGTAATAATTCAACTGAAATTAATAAATCAGCTGAAAACAACATTGACTCTGCATTTTAAATGCACCAAGGAGCTCAACTTCTGTAGAGGATGCTATAACTTTCACATAGTGCAACGGCATGCCAAAGCTCAACAAACTAACCAATCCACTATTGTAAGCTTTGCATTTTCCAAAGTCAGCATGAGTAACACAATTCATGAATCACAGTAGTGCACACATTTGAATTAACTGCCTGCAAAATAAAGCACATAATATGCAGCCTACTCACCTACAGGACATCAACTTTAACTTTCCCAAACCAAAGGAATTGGAAGAAAAAACAACAACAATCCAAGCAGTAATTTACCAGGCAGGTGAACACAAGTCTTCTAGCTTTTTTCCCCCCACTTTCCTATCAAGATTTCACTTCTACATTATCCCATTCAGATAAAACCAATAGGAACAGGAATGCAATTATGCTGGGTTAGGTAAAGTTTGAAAAGGGTGTGTGTGTGATGGACTGGAATGGAGGAAGGGGGGTGAAAACGGTGCTCTCATCTCCAGAGCAACG